ATGTACCTGTAGGGCTCCAGCATACCCAATTCTATCTCCCCCACCCTTTCGATCTAATATTTTCTTTTTTTTAAAAAAAAGATTTTATTTACTTATTTGACAGAGAGAGATGCAGCGAGAGAGGGAACACAAGCAGGGGGAGTGGGAGAGGGAGAAGCAGGCTTCTCTAAGTACTGACGTTTCTACTATCCCCTCTCCTGCCGTGTAATAGCTGAGCAGGGAGCCGGATGCAGGGCTCAATCCTAGGACCCTGGGATCATGACCTGAGCCGAAGGCAGACGCCCAACGACTCAGTCACCCAGGTGCCCCTCGATCTAATATTTTCAACCACAGGTCACCCCTATTTGATGTTTCACTGCCAGTCAAATGCTGCTTGTCCAAACCCCAACTTCTTTTGGCCTTTGCTGTTTAGGAGAAACAGGTCCAGTGACTCAGGTGAATTCTCAAATACCAGTCAATATTTTCCCCACGATGTGCATAAACATGAAGGGGAAAGAATGTCAGAGGCATATTGAGTGGGCGAATCCTAGCTGGTGGCCTAGGCTCACCTCCAAGTGGATGACATGTTCTTATACCAGCCTCGGTGCGGGGGGGGGGGGGTAGTTTTAAGGTTTTGCCTCATCAAAACTAGGTATCTGTGCAAGTCACGGATCTCTGGAGTCACTGGTAAGGAGTCAAACCATAAAAACCAATGGAATATAGATACTTGTATGTACCTCTGTGGGAGGAATCCCCTAAAACTGAATTTTAAACAAGCTACTGTGGTGATTCTTATGAATAGTCAAGTCCCCTCTCTTTGTTCCTTCTTACTTACCCAAATAAAGCCTGTTTCACTGTGACTAATGGTGCAATCTTTCTGCCAGTCTTCTAGGTGGCATTTAGAGCCACATCTGGCTTTTTCTTTTCCCTCATCCTTTATGGCTAACCATTCACTAAGTACTGACGTTTCTACTATCCCCTCTCCTGCCGTGTAATAGCTAGAACAAACATTAATTGAGAGCTTGTGTATACAAGATGTATCAGTTTTCTATTGTCATATATGGAATTACAATACGTTTAATGATTAAAAACAGCACCGGTTTATTAGCTTATTAGCTGGTCAGAAGTCTGGAGTGGGGTGACTGTGCTCTCTGCTCAGTGAATTAGGTGTTGGAAGCCTGAAATCAAGATCTCAGCCAGGCTGATTTCCCTGTGGAGGCTCTGGGGAAAAATCTGCTTCCATGTTCATTCAGGGTGACAGAATTCACTTCCTTTTCGAGTCTCCGACTTCTGCCACCAGCTGGAGAAAACTCTCCTCTTAAAGGGCTCATGTGATTAAGTCAGGCTCATCTAGATAATATCCCTATTCCAAGGTCACCTGATTTGGAACCTTAATATCATAGGCAAATTCCCTTTACAGCAGCGCCTGGGGTCATGTTTGACTGAAAAAATGGGAGGAGGAGTAGATACACCAGGTCTGGGAATCTTGGAGACCATCTTGGAATTCTGCCCACTGTACAAGGGAAGCAGAATTCTAAGAAATCTGCGTGTATTTCCTTAAGTAAGTCTTTCAATAGCACTATGAAACAGATACCACTGTTATTTCCTTTTTTTTTTTTAATTAGAAACTGACACGCAGCAGAAGAGTCTTGCTCAAGGTTACACAGCTGTTTTCATAACACTCCATTGCTCTTGGATTTTCATGTCTGTATTCATTCAACTACCTTCTAGGTAGCTTTCCTGTCTCCATGATCTTCTTCCTTGAATTTATTCGATATTCCTTGGCCAGGCCAATGTTGGTTAAATTTTTTTTTGGTCATAAAGTGGCTTTCCTAGATACAAAGAATTATAGTTAGTGATAGCAAAAAAGAAGCCCTGTCCTGATGTGCGAGAACCTGAACTTATGCCCAAATATGAGAATCCAATATGAGAATCCATTCAGCTGTATCCTTGGCAAGGGTTTTATTATGCTAACTTAGAACTGTAATGGTTTGATTGTGAAGTGGCAGGAGATGTGTGTGTGTGTGTGTGTGTGTGTGTGTGTGTGTGATTATAACACAAGGCACTGGGTATGGATTGTGTCTTCTCAGACTCAAAAGGGAGGAGCGAGTGTGGATAATTCTTTAACAATAAGACAAAACAGAATAGTAGGTTCAGGAGCAAATTTTATAGGTTATACTGAAAATATAAAAGTTAGCTATTATATTGCAGAGTATATGCATGTAAGACATATATTTAGAGACAGAATGAATTGAATCAATCTTTAGGAGATGAATAACTTATGAAGCTTAGTTTTACTTTCTCATCCATTCACTCCTTCAACAAGTACTTGTCGAATGACACCATGTGCCAAGCACTGTATCAACCACATTTATTTATTTTCTCCTAGAGTATCGCAAGCTTCCGAACTGGTTTTCCTGCTTTCACTCCACACCTACCCCCATTCCATTCTGCTACCTACACAGTGGCCAGAGAGATGCTTTTAACCTATTGAGATCTTGACACACTCTCAAACCTTTCTAATACATTTTCAGCCAATTCAGAGTAAAATCCAATCCCATGGCCCATAATGTGACCTAAAGAGCTCTTCTCCTCTCTGTGTCCAAACCCATTTCCTCCCTCTCCCTTTCACTCACTCTGCTCTCGAGAACACAGGCACAGGCCTCCTCCCCATGTTCCCTGGGCATGGCAATCATTTGTCCACTTCAGGCTTTCACAGGGGCTATTATTCCATCAGCTTAGAAGATCCTCCCCCACACAGTTACTCCTTTATTTGACTCAGATTGTTTACTCAAATGTCACTTCCCTGGCCACCTGAGCCAAAATAGCATCCCTGTCCCCACCATCCGCTCCTTTTCCTTCTACTTTTCTTCCCGACACTCAATTACCACCTGATAAGTTATATATATTTTTATGTGTTTAGTTGGCTTGCTGTCTCCTTCCTTACTAGGATGTCAGCTCCTGGGAACAGAGACTTTATTTTTTCTCCTAAAATATTCCAGTGACTGAAACAGTGCCCGGCACATTGTAGGAACTCAGACATAGTGAATAAGTGAAGGAATGAATATAAATCTCTATTTTTTGTGGTATTTATTTTTTAAATGCTGAAATAAAAATATGATTTAACAGTTCAGTCAAATAGTATGGTTTTACATTTTCCATACGTTTTTTGCCTTTCTTTATCACCCATATCCCCAAAGAATATGATGCCCCTATTAGTGAAGAGTATTAATACAATTTCTGGGGGAACATTTCCCAATAGAGTGGTGACAGGACAGACCAATAGCTTTGGAAATCAAGTCACGGATTTTACAACTTTTAAGAACCTCAACAAATGGACTGTCTTCATGGCTTAAATGCCAAGGAACATAACTGAAAGTAGTAGTACAATCCCAATGGCTAAAACCTAATGTAAGCAGTGAGTGACTTAGGTTTCAGCAGAGGAGTTCTTTCAAAACAACCCATCCAACCAGCTGGGAGACATTTCAGGCAGTAGAAGGACTGAATTCAGCAGTTAGGAACTCTCTTGGCAGCGAAGGCCTTGCTCCCACCCACTCCCTACTCAGTGATTGAGAAACACAATTTCCTATCCCCTAATACATTTGATGCCTCTGTTGCTTTTTGTTCCACAGCTTGGAATTTCCTAATGTCTGTGACAAGTCAGCTGGTGATGGTGAAATTGCCAGTATTCCTTGTACCTTATAAAGATGTTCAGGGGCTGAGTCAAAGCTTCTACAGGATTCTGATGGCCTCACACTTAAATATGGCAGAGAAGAGTATGCACAGAAATTTCCCAATTGTTTTTATGTGATGCTGAAAGACTGGTAGATTATCAGCAGCCCAATTTAAACTACTTTCACAGAGACTGTGGCCTCTGATATGGAGATCATTTGGAGATGTTTTTCCAGTAAAAGGGATTATCTTGTCTATAGCTCATGATGGACTCTTGGGAAAAGGCTCAGGAAGCAGGGCATGACGTTTTGATGTTTTGTATCAGATCCCAGTTCCACAATGGTCACTGGTGTTGACAGACAGGTTCTGGAGTTACTTTTCTTCTTTCTCTTGTACCCTACTATAGTCCTTTCTGATAAGGATTCAGTCCTTGAAGGTAAAAATTATTTTTATATTATCTTTATTGCTTTTTCTGATTAAAAAAAGTAATGCACACATGTCATCTCAGAATTTTGGGGGGCTTTCTAAAATGCACCTAAGTAGGAGGGGTGTTATGAAGGTGGGAGCCTGATCTTTTACCCAGATTTTCTTTAAAAAAATTTATTTATTTATTTATTTATTTATTTATTTATTTATTTATTTATTTATTTATTTGAGAGACAGGGAGAGAGCACGAGTTGGGGGGCGTAGGGCAGAGGGAGAAGGAGAAGCAGACCCCAGGACCTGGATCTCATGACCCAAGCGGAAGGCAGATGCTTAATTGACTGAGCCACCCAGGTGTCTCTTACCCAGATTTTTATTATGGTATCTTATCCTGGGTACTCACTGAGGTGACCGGGTATGAACGTTTTCATAGTTTTCAAAGTTCAAAATCAGATTTGAGCTTTGACCTCGAGTTGCAGGTACAGACCGGTGACCTCATTTGTCCCTTTTAACAGCAGCAAATCAGACCAACTCAGACCAGCAATTCCTAGGGGGAAAACTGTGAGCAGTAACACAGGTCAAAAGGTCAAAAGACAGAAATTTTCAGGCTGATATAAAACATAGAATTCAAATTCAAGGGACAGATTACCAAAAGAAAAAAACGGGAAGGTGAATGGGGCTCTTTCCAGCTCTTTATCGTTCGGACGCGCCGTCGACACTCCGTGGGGCCAAGTCCCCTTACCCAGTGTTTCAGTGTCCCTCCAACTGTAGAGGCGGTGCACGGGCTTCATTTCACCACCCACCCGTCCCAATCCTGTTAGCAGCACGGGCACGTTCACTCTACCCATGAAAGGCGGACACGGATTTGCTCCCCCAGCCCGCGGTTTCCGGTCACCGAATTACACACTTTCATTGACCGTCTCTGGCAGAGACAGCGTGGGCGGGCCAGGTTCGCCCCCGGACAAAGCGCAGGCGCCCCTCACGGTCTGCGCACACGCTGGTGTACGCGCGCGAGGCGACGGTGGACAGCGGACTCCGTCCCCGGCCGGTCTGCGCGCCCAGCTCCCGCCGCCGCAGGAGCCTCAAGCGGAGACGCCCGCCCAGCCGCCCGCCGCCTACCTGGCGCGGCCCGGGGGTGCCGGGATCCCCGCGTCCCCGAGGCTCCGCCCCGCAGTTCCCGTCACGTGCCGCCGCGCCGCCCAATCAGCGTCCGCAGCGCACAGGCTCGCGATTCAAACTGCGGCGCCGCCGGCTCGCTGGGATCGGCGCTGGGGCGGCCGCCGCCGCCGCAGCTGCGTACCGGCCATGGAGCACCGCATCGTAGGGCCCGGTCCGTACCGGGCCACCAAGCTGGTGAGTGGAGGTGCCAGGGCCTGGGCGACGCCGCGGTCCCCGCGATCTGCAAGGTTGGCGGGGCCCGAGTATGGAGGCCGGACCCGTTCCGGCCTCGGCGGCCGTTTTCTGGACGATATTCAAAGAAAGGCTTACCGGGCCTGGCGCTTGGCACGTAGTGGGTGGGTGCAGCTTCGTTCCCGAGACACTGGACTGGTTCTTGGCAGTAAGTGAGCCTTCCGATTTAAAGCGCCCGAAAGAACAGAGTGACCCCACCCCCACCCCCTTTGTCCCCTGGAATCGAACGCCTGCAGCCCGGAGAAGAAGGGCCCCGTGGGTAACCTCAGGGTCCCCACCCCTTGTAACACTAACCCTTCGCCGCAGCCCAGGCCGGGCGTGTCTCCGTCCTGAGTGTCACTTGTGGTGACACTGAGGTGCTTTCTAACGGTGCCCGGAACGCAGGTGGGTCTTGGCCGCTTTTCTGGTTCCCAGCGTTTCTGGTCTGTCAGCACCTACCTAAATCAGCGGTTGGCCCCATCGGATGTTCTTTTTTTGTTTTTTCTTCTTTTTAAAGATTATTTGACAGAGAGAGCGAGAGCAGGAACACAAGCAGGGGGAGTGGGAGAGGGAGAAGCAGGCTTCCCGCCGAGCAGGGAGCCCCATGCGAGCTGGATCCCAGGACCCCGGGATCATGACCTGAGCCGAAGGCAGACGCTTAACGGACTGAGCCACCCAGGCGCCCCCGAACAGATGTTCTGAAAGAGCCTTTACAGACCCTGAGGGTTCAGGGTGCTGCTTTTTCTCCTGGGAGAAGAACTTTGGTATTCAGGGGTCTGAGGTGTACTTGATTTCTTTGTGATCTGGAGCAAGTGATTTTAGTGATTTGCGTTTTACAGGATCACTCCGACGGAATAGTGGTGACAGTTAGGTAATTGCAGGTGTTTAAAGGCTTTCTATGGAAGTCTGCTGGTAATTGGGGGGAAGGGACCCCGCTCCTTGGTCTTTTGCCACTTATGGCCACATATAATTTGGGAATTGGTTTCATTGTTCTGTGTAACCTAACGGATATCCAGGAAAAGATAGGAACAGGATGGGAGGAGTTACTGCACTCATTTTTTTTTAATTTAATTTTTTTATTGTTATGTTAATCCCCATACATTACATCATTAGTTTTAGATGTAGTGTTCCATGATTCATTGTTTGTGCATAACACCCAGTGCTCCATGCAGAATGTGCCCTCTTTAATACCCATCACCAGGCTAACCCATCCTCCTAACCCCCTCCCCTCTAGAACCCTCAGTTTGTTTTTCAGAGTCCATCGTCTCTCATGGTTCGTCTACCCCTCCGATTTCCCCTGCTTCATTCTTCCCCTCCTGCTACCTTCTTCTTCTTTTTTTTTTTCTTAACATATATTGCATTATTTGTTTCAGAGCTACAGATCTGAGATTCAACAGTCTTGCACAATTCACAGCGCTTACCAGAGCACATACCCTCCCCAGTGTCTATCACCCAGTCACCCCATCCCTCCCACCCCACCCCCCACTCCAGCAACCCTCAGTTTGTTTCCTGCGATTAAGAATTCCTCATATCAGTGAGGTCATATGATACATGTCTTTCTCTGTTTGACTTATTTCGCTCAACATAATATCCTCCAGTTCCATCCACCTCGTTGCAAATGGCAAGATCTCATTCCTTTTGATGGCTGCATAATCCATGGTATATAAATACCACATCTTCTTTATCCATTCATCTGTCGATGGACATCTTGGCTCTTTCCACAGTTTGGCTATTGTGGACATTGCTGCTATAAACATCGGGGTGCACGTACCCCTTCGGATCCCTACTTTTGTATCTTTGGGGTAAATACCCAGTAGTGCAATTGCTGGATCATATGGTAGCTCTATTTTCAACTTTTTGAGGAACCTCCATACTGTTTTCCAGAGTGGCTGCACTAGCTTGCATTCCCACCAACAGTGTAGGAGGGTTCCCCTTTCTCCGCATCCCCGCCAACATCTGTTGTTTCCTGACTTGTTAATTTTAGCCATTCTGACTGGTGTGAGGTGGTATCTCATTGAGGTTTTGATTTGGATTTCCCTGATGCCGAGCGATGTTGAGCACTTTTTCATGTGTCTTTTGGCCATTTGAATGTCTTCTTTGGAAAAATGTCTGTTCATGTCTTCTGCCCATTTCTTGATTATTTGTTCTTTGGGTGTTGAGTTTGATGAGTTCTTTATAGATTTTGGATACTAGCCCTTTATCTGATATGTCATTTGCAAATATCTTCTCCCATTCTGTCGGTTGTCTTTTGGTTTTGTTGACTGTTTCCTTTGCTTTGCAAAAGCTTTTTATCTTGATGAAGTCCCAATAGTTCATTTTTGCCCTTGCTTCCCTTGCCTTTGGCGATGTTTCTAGGAAGAAGTTGCTTCTGCTGAGGTCAAAGAGGTTGCTGCCTGTGTTCTCCTTTAGGATTTTGATGGATTCCTGTCTTACATTGAGGTCTTTCAACCATTTGGAGTCTATTTTTGTGTGTGGTGTAAGGAAATGGTCCAGTTTCATTCTTCTGCATGTGGCTATCCAATTTGCCCAACACTATTTGTTGAAGAGACAGTCTTTTTTCCATTGGACATTCTTTCCTGGAAAGCACCTCAATTTTACCAGAACTTCCCAGGTAGTCAGTTCAGTTGTCAAATTTATTCTACTTGAGATCTTTGATCTTAAATCAAGATTCTGGAAGCACAGAAAACAATAGGAAATTTTTTTAAAAAAGTGAGACTTCCTGCTTTATCAGTGATCTCCGTCATCATTGTAGATGCTTTAACCTCATTATAAAATGTATAAATGTTTCCTGGAGCATAATTCAGTTGTGTCTTACAACTTTTACCAGGTAAATCACAAAGTTTGTGACTAGTCGTCTCTTTACTTACCTTCCCCAGCTTACCTTTCCATCTCCCTGTCCCCACTTATCATTTCGCCCTTCTCCCAAGATCACCCTCAACCCAGTCTTCAGGAAAAGCTTGGGAAAATCATTGGCATATAAAGAGTAGGCTTTTACTTCCTCCTTTCATGACTCCCTTTACTGTTTCAAACCATGTACAGCTCCATTTTCTAAAGCACCAAAGTCTTATCTGAAAATAACATTTTATGGACTAGGTAAATTTTTTTGCCAAAAATCAAATGACAGACTCTAAGTCATTACATGATGAATATGGAAGTTAATTAGAAACTTATTCATCTTCATTGAAATAGCTTTCGCTTTTGTAACCCACATACAAATACAGTTGACTCTTGAACAATGTGGGGATTAGGAGTGCCCACCCATGCGCAGTTGAACGTCCATGTATAACTCCCCCCAAACTTAACTACTAACAGCTTACTGTTCACTGGAAGCCTTACTGATAACATAAACAGTCAATTGACACATATTTTGTATGTTGTATGTATTATATACTGTATTTTTATAATAAAGTAAGCTAGAGAAAAGATGTTATTAAGAAAATAATAAGGAAGGGCACCTGGGTGGCTCAGTCGATTAAGTCTCCACCTTCGGCTCAGGTCATGATCCCAGGGTGCTGGGATCGAGTTCCGCGTTGGGCTCCCTGCTCAGTGAGGAGTCTGCTTTTCCCTCTGCCCCTCCCCTCTGCTCCTGCTCTCTCTCTCTCTTTCTTCCTCTCTCTCTCTCAAATAAAATCTTTAAAAAAAAGAAAATCAGAAAGAAGAGAAAATACATTGACAGTACTGTACTGTATTTATCAATGAAAATCTGCATGTAAAGTGGACCCATGTAGTTCAAACCCCTGTTTTTCAAGGGTCAACCGTAGTTCATCATTTTAATAGAAATAATGAGGAGAAAGAAAATTGCTTTTATAAAAATGGCTTTAATCTACTGATTCTTTGAACTTGATTCTGAGTTACCTCTACCATCTGATGCAAGTGGTAAAGTTTAAAACCCTTACAGCTGTCACTGAATTTGAGAACTAGAATGGACATGACCAATTGTCTAGTCCAGTTTCTTCCTTCTCTTGAGGCCTATAGGGGTGAACTGACTTGATCAGGTTTGCCGTGCTCGTCTGTGGCAAGTTCAGCTAGAGGTAGAGTCTGGTGTCTCTGCGCTCCCGGGCCAGGTGCTAGAGCATGATAGCACCATTCTCACAATGTTTTTGGTACTAAGAAGGAAGGAAATGGAATAAATATCCTGGAGAAAAAAACAGGAAGCACATTTCAACACTCAGTGCTGTATTTTGTAGTTTGGCTCATGATGTGAAGTAGAAACAATTGTATGATTCCTTATTTTAGATCCCTAGTTTAAGGGATAAATAAATAAAACAAAGGTGATTTTTTTTTTTAATCATGAACAAATCTCTTTTGTTCCTTTTGCTATAAAGATTTTCTCTCCAAATAATATGTCATGGAAAAAAATCACATTCTCAAGCTCTGTCTTGTTCTTTGTTGACATAGGATCTTTTCCTTCTAAGTGTGACTGAGAATTTTGAAGTATTTTACAGGTAATGTAATTCTTCTTTCTTGACAGAGTAGCCGAATTACAACATAATTATTTTTGGAAGTAAGTAGGAACAGAGACCATAGTTCTCACTAGGTTTTAGAATTCTGAAGTGTTTCATGGACTGAGTAAATATAATCCATAATGATAAGTGCCATTAAGAATCAACATAAATAAATTAAAAATTAATTTTATAAGATATGAGCTTTGATAAAGATGTCTTATTAGAAAATTTCTAGTGTGAAATGAAAACCAGCTATCAACAGAATCAGTAAAAATCCAGTCTTAATAGTTTTTTTTTTCTGTGTGTGGAATACACGGAATGAAAAGGTCATTCAGAAGAGTAAAAGTATGAGAATTAAAATTTTTTTTGGAAAAAAATTTATTTTTAAAGGAGACCATAGGTAACCTTGGTCTACCAGAGATTTAAACTTAGTATTAATTGACTGTAATCACAATGGTGTAGTATTGCATAGGAAGACACAAATAGCTCAGTGGGATAAAAAAGAGAGTTCAGAACAGAATCAAGAAAGATACTATGTAAGGTAACTTAGTATTTCAATTCATTGAAAAAAGGGTGATATAATTGGCTCTCCATTTGGAAGAAAATAAAGTTAGAGGTGTTTTCCTCCCACCATAAAAAATTCTAGTTGAAGATTCAAATATTTAAAAAAAATCCCTCTAAAATATTAAAAGAAAACTTTGATAAATATTTTTAATACCGCTGGATGGAGAAATCTATAACTTCCTTCCCCTAAAGGGGAAAATCCTGAAGCTATAAAGAAAATAAAGATATATTTGTTTCATTAACATCACCATCAACAACAAAACCTTCATATAGCTAGAGACCACATAAATTGATAAGCCAGGAGAAAACATTTCTAATATATTTTTTAAAAGGATTAAGATTCCATATTCATTCATTCATTCAGAACACCTTTATTAAGCACATGCACCATATGAGAGGCACTGTCCTCAGTTGTAGAGATACTGAACTGAGCAAAATAGACTAACTTTCTTGACTTCTATGCACTTTGACTTAAATGCTAGATTTAAACATTTTAAAAAATTGGTTAAGAAAAAGAGGGAGACAACCCAATAGAAAAAGGTCAAGTCTCAGATAAATAAATGAAACTTACTTAAGATGAAGATAGGAACATGAAAACAAAATACAGACATATCATTTCTTAAACACAGATTGGCAGAAATGAGAATGGTAACATCTAGTGATGGCCACAGATAAGGCAGCATGCTCTGATATTGCTGGTAGGACTGTGAATTGTTACATCTGATCTAAATATGCTGATAAAATTTAGAAATCCATTCTATCACAAATAAATAAAAGCATTGGTCCTTTAAGTTATTTATTCATTTGAAAGAGAGAGAGAGAGAGAGATGTGCAAGTGTGGGGGAGGAAGAAGGACAAGGTCGGGCCAACTCCATGCAGAGCATCATGACCTGATGTGAAATCAAGAGTCGGATGCTTAAGCAACTGAGTCACCCATGTGCCCCAGGGTTTTTAAAGTAATATTTTGAAACAACAAAGTGGAAACAGATCCATGCCCATCAGTTAGAAAATGCTTTAGTAGGGACATCTGGGTGGCTCAGTCGTTAAGCATCTGCCATCGGCTCAGGTCATGGTCCCAGGGTCCTGGGATTGAGCCCTGCATCGGGCTCCCTGCTAGGGGGAAAGCCTGCTTCTCCCTCTCCCACTCCCTCTGCGTGTGTTTCCTCTTTCGCTGTGTCTCTCTCTGTCCAACAAATAAGTAAAATCTTAAAAAAAAAAAGAAAATGGTTAAGTAAAATGGCACTCATTTATTCATAAGACTAGGCTAGATCTACAGGTATTGACACAGAAAGACATCTGTGCTGTGTTCAGTGCAAAAACAAGTTGGGGAATGTGTACAGTAGGATTGATCACATTTCTTAAAAAAGGAAGCAAACAACAATACTAATAATAAGTAACATACATTAAAAAGGGAAAATTCTATATGTGTGTGTATGTTTGATAGGTATGTGGGATCAGAGAGAGACTGGGCAATCTCTTTTATATATGCTTCTGCATTTAATTTGTTACAATGTGCATTATTACTTACCTAATTAAAATAAGTAGAGGAACTACTCACCAGCTTGAATCAATTAATAGGCATATTTACTTCTGGTTTGAAATATGGGATTCCAGGGACCCATGTCTTCATTACATTTATTGCATAATGTATAAAGTACTATGCATTAAGTTTAATTGATAATGATTATGATAATTCAATAAACATAAAATAAATGAAAATCTTTTTTATTAACTCTTCTTCCCTCCCCACTCCCAACGTGCTTGATCAGGACTAACATAAAGGCTAGATGTCAGCAGAGAATTAAAACAACAACAATGATTAAAAATATGTGGAGACTGTTTAAAACCATGTGTTCATACGTATAGGTGGCATAATGAAATGAGTACAACTCAGTAAGTTTTCATATGAGCACCCCATGTAACTGATACCCAGCTCAAGATAGGTAACATCCTAACGCTCCCCTTGCCTTTCTCCGTCTTGACCTCCATACAAAGTAACCACTGTTATGATTTCTAATACCATGGATTAGTTTTGCCTGCTTTTTGACTTCATGTAAGTGGAATCATATAGTTTGTTTTTTTTTTTTTTAAAGTAGGCTTCATGCCCAGTGTGTAGCCCAACACAGGGCTTGAACTCACGACCCTGAGATAAAGACCTGAGCTGAGACTAAGAGTTGGATGCTCAACCAACTGAGCCACCCATGCGCCCCAAGCCTTGAAAATCTTTTACTTACAACCTTCCCACTCAAAAGAAAAAAATAACTTTTAAAAATGTATTCTATTCATTCAGTAAGTATTTACTGGAGATATTACCACCAAGTTGTCCCTTCATGTGAACTTAATGGATTCTTACATTCATGAGAAACAAATGATCAAAACTATGGCTAAAACTGAGCCCAATATGCCTAATTCACTTCTTAGGGCACTATGTTTAATATGATTTAACTTCATTCAACAAATATGTACTGTTTATTACATGAAAAGCATTATAGGGAGAGAAGAAAAGAGAGATGTATGAGACATAGTGCCTGATGTCAAAACATGTTTAAAAATTCAGCAAAATATTTTCCTATTTAAAAAAACAAAACCTAGACATCCACGCCTTCATCAGCCTTCCCTAGATTAAATGAAATGTTCACATATGGTATCCTTCCTACATAATTACACCAGCAGCTTTTTCGGACCCTAGGCTTCCTGCCAACCTTCCTAAAAGTCCTGGAAACTCACAGTCTTACTCTCATAACCATTCTCCCTTCTCCCAGCCTTCTCTTTCAGGTCTATCACTGCACAAACTGAATCTTTCCTTCTCACCCCCCTTCCCACTGAAGCCAGAAAATCTTTTTCTAACAACTACAGTTCTGATCTCGGCATATTCTTTTTATTTTTCCCACTTCTGGCTCCTGTTTTCCCTTCTGATCAGGCCTTTTCTTCCAGGTTTCTCTTCATTCCTCCTGCCCAACCCTGTTTGAAATGATGGTCCACTCTTCTTCCACACAACACCGGAGATGTACAGGACCAAGGTGGGGTCCGTGCAAGCACACACCCTGGACATAGAGCATAGTGCCCGACATACAGTAAGGATTCAGCAAGCAAATGCTTAATTGGTCTTTCACTTTTTCTACTTTCTTTAACTACCTTCTAACTTGTTGCAATTGAATTCCACTCTGATTCCGAATCATGTCTTCCTTGGAGCCAAATTCAAACATCTTTTCGCCTTGGGTATATATTAATCTTTCTACTTAATTTGACACTGTTATATGCCATCCTCCAAATTAAGTTGGTCCAGATTTAAACAGTTTTTTAACATCTTAAAACACACACAAGAAACAAGGCAAGCCCATGTAGGATAACATTTAACTAGAATTTCTAAAACAAAAGAAAACAAAAAACTCAAGACACAAATGAAAAGACAGACACTCCAATAGAAAAAAAAAAAAGGAAAATGACTTGAACAGGCATTTCACATGAAAAGATCTTCAAATTTACCATAATATATGCAAAGATGTTCAACCTTATTAATTAGAAATGAAACACAAAAGAAATCCACAATGCAATACCACTACGTGCCTACAGAATGGCTAAAATGAAAAAGATAGTCAATACTAAGTGCTGATGAGAATGTGGAGCAACTGGAAACCTCATACATTGCTGGCGGGAATATAAATCAATACAACCACTTTGGAAAACAGGTTGGCAACCTCTACAAAAGTTAAATATATGCACACCTTATAAACCAGCAATTTCCATTAAGTATATATCCCAACAGAACGTATATATATGTTGACCAAAAAACACGTTCATAGGAGCACTGTTCTTAGAAAAAAACAACCCAAATGTCCATCAACTTAAGAAAAGATAAATAGTGGGGCACCTGGGTGGCTCAGCTGGTTAAGCAACCAACTCTTGATTTTCACTCAGGTCATGATCTCAGGGTTGTAAGATTGAGCCCTGAGTTGGGCTCCATGCTACGTGTGGAGCCTGCTTGGGATTTTCTGTCTCCTTCTTCTCGATCCACCTGGCCACCCCGCTCACACACTCTCTCTCTTAAAAAAAAAAAAAAGAATAAATAGTGATTTATTTATGCAACGGAATACTGCATAGCAATAAAAATGAACTCTGCCACATACATTAACATGGATGAATAACATAAATAAAATGTAGATATAAGAAGGCCAGAAGAGAAGTAAAAACCATATGATTCCACGGGGTGCCTGGGTGGCTCAGTCAGTTAAGTGTCTGACTCTTGTCGCACCTTGGGCTCCATGCTGGGCATAGGGTCTACTTAAAAAAAAAAAAAAATTCAAGTCTTTGTCATCAAGGCAGTCTTTTCAATGGAAGAACTGCATTCATTATCTTAAGTATTTGGGACGTAATAACCTTTAAAAAAATCAGTTGGTTACTAAATGCTTTTCGCCCTTTCTTTCCCAGTGGAATGAAACAGTTGAGCTTTTTCGTGCTAGGATGCCCTTACGGAAACATCGCTGTCGTTTCAAAAGTTATGACCGTTGCTTCACGGCGGCCGAAGCTGTGGATTGGCTGCATGAGCTCTTGAGGTGCAGTCAGAACTTTGGCCCTGAAGTGACCCGCAAACAAACAGTTCAGCTGCTGAAAAAATTCCTCAAGAATCATGTTATTGAAGACATCAAGGGAAAATGGGGTCAGGAAGATTTTGAAGACAATCGTCACTTGTACAGGTAAGGGTGACAAGTTTACCCTGAAGGGGAGGACTACAGGGAGGACAACTGGATCTGGTCAGTCTCTTGAAACTTCCTCGTGTGGAATAATCTCTCTTGTCCAGTGGAGTGATGCTCACACTTGTGATTTGTTGAGTGAAGAACCACGTGTGTTGTTACCATAAACCTGTTGCAATGTTCTTGAGTCCGTAGAGCGCCCCCTAGCCGTGTTTAGTTGCAGTGACTTTTCAGAAAGGACATCCGTTCATGCCTTTTGCACACCTGGGGGGAGGGCTACAGGGGTCCTCGAGAATCTGAAAGGGTGAAAGAGCAGCTCTGGGGTGGGCCTTTCTAGCAGCGAGAGGGGTGTATTCATGGGATTAGTGGCAGAGTGGGTCTGATCTTTAAGCACATCTCGGGGCCTGTATGAAGAATTGTGCTAGAATTCCCTGATGTCTTAGTTGAACCCTGGCAATGTATGTCTCTGTTCTCCAAATGTTTTTGCTCATGTTTTGGTGCTATTTTGTGATGGGACACTTACCGTCCGATGATCCAAGGAAAATATGCATGTCTCTCTGCTCGGACTTTCCTTTTCACTGCATGCTAGGCTGTTTTATTGCTGGAGGTGGCGGGGGTGGGGGGGCGGCTACCTAAGCTTCAGGGACTGGGGGAATATTAAAGAGGAATGAAGCTGCACGTGTCCTGAGAAGAGAAAGCGTTGAGTTATCGACAGAGAGGCCCCCCAGAGGGCTGAGAACCTGAAGGGAGGTTAAAAGAAGAAATGGAGAATATGGACCCTTAACATTGGCTTTCTTTTACTCTGAAAGAAAAATGAAGAATGCTCTTACAACACATTTAGTGAGGCAGTTTGGGGCCGCTGAGCCCCATGGCTTTGAGCAGAGAAAAACCTGTTTATTCCTACCTGAACCATTTCTTTGGCTCCTTTGTGGGCTAGCTGCTGGGAGAGGTCGCAGAGCAGTGTGAGGGTGGCCTCCAACACCAAGGCTAAGACCAGACATTGCTGCATGTTTAGCATTGAGCTGCTGCTTCTTTTTTTTTTTTTTTTTTTAAGATTTTATTTATTTGACACAGAGAGAGAGAGAGCACAAGTAGGGGGAGCAGCAGAGGGAGAGGGAGAAGCAGACTCCTCACTGAGCAAGGAGCCTGATGCAGGGCTCAATCCCAGGACCCCAGGATCATGACCTGAGCCGAAGGCAGACCCACTGCCGAAGGCTTAACCCACTGAGCCACCCAGGTGCCCCAGCATTGAACTTCTTTGTAGAATTTCATTGACAATCTTCAGGTTCCAGATATCAAGATTGTCATCAGGGCAATTAGTTGTCTCTCCATTTGGCAGTTATTTCTGGCTTGCTCATCCAACTTTTAAGTAGGATCTTGGGTGATTTTAGCTTATTCTGAGACGATAGTGTTTTGTTAGCATCAGGCAGCAGACTCTAGCCCTGGTTCTGCTTGCCATACCTCATTGGGAATTCGCAAGTGATTATTTCTCTTGGGAAACTGTAAATACTTGTACCCCATCACAACTTAGCTAGAACACTTCTAAAAAATTCTCTGGATGAGCAACTTCCAATCTGTTCTATTGTGAACTTAAATGGGGGTAACATCCATTGTGTCCCAGGAGGCTTTCAGAGTCCTCGGGGGAGGGAAATCGGAGCATGCTCTAGGAGCCGACCATCCAGCACTGTCAGAGCATGCTTCGTGTCACTATGAAGACTTAATCGTGTGTCCCCCCTTTAAAATATCAAGTGCACAGGCAGATTACATTTGTCTATTAAATAATGATTTTCCCTTCACCTTCTGTAATACCTGTTAATCATAAAGGGAGCAGGATTTTCTTCTATTATTTATCACCTGAAAACTCTTAGCTTTCCATTTTCCTGGGTGAAAGTTCTGTACGCTAACTACTGATGTTTGCCAATTTCTCAGATTAATCTGGGATGAAATCTATGTAGATATGTAAATCATTTGTTAGGAGCCTGTGCCTTGAATTGAGAATGAGCTGATGAGCTTGGAGGCAGCCGTTGGACGCATGCAGCTTCTGGGACTGGTGCTCAGTATCCTCACACCTGCGTGCTAGGGCTCCAGGCAAGAGTGGGGGTGGGCTGCCCTGCTTGCTCTCCTTCTAGCTGCTGTCCTGGTAGAATAGGACTGCTGCCGCATTATGATGGAAATAGATGAGTGAGATTAGGACCTAGAGGCAGTTAGATTTAAAAATAGATGGAGAGCCAGTGAGGTGGAGAAATTCCAGACGTGCTTTTAAATGTCAAACTTTATGGGTGGGGGGGCCTTTATAAATAGTATCGAAGAGGCTGGAATGGCCAGCCGAGCGCGCTTGCCGGCATGTAAGGAACTAACGTAATCAAGGGCATATGATGTGCTGACATGTCACATTATCGTCATCTAACCCAATATCTGTTGATATAGTGTATTTTCCTAATTTTAAAGATTAGGAAGTTAATAAGGCCAAAGCTCCAAAGTCCCTCAGCTGGACTCAAAAAAATGAATCCTGACCAAGAAGAGTCAGGATTTGAATTGAGATGTCTGTGTCTGAAGCTGTCTTCTTACGGTGTGCTATATCACCTCCATTTCCACCACATGAGGTGGACTTAACTTAAACACACATTAATAAACAAGAAATATTTGGTGTGGCCAAGTTTATATACTTACAGAATTCCAGCGATGTCTTAAGTACTGGGTAATACACTGAATGATCAGCCATGTTCAAGAAGTTGTCAAATAAGGGAATAAGGTAAACGTCATCAGCCGAAGCACTTATAAATATAGCAGTGGGTGAGTGGTTGGGTCTATGAATTGGGTCTATAAATTAAAGAAAGCTACACGAAATACCAAAGGCTCTTAGAGCATTTTTTAAGGACAGAAACACACACAGTATATGTTGAAGAATTTTGTAACAGAAATTGAGTTAAGCTTTTATTTTAGAATGTGTCCTATCTTATTTCTAGTTTTATTTCTTTATTTTTATTTTTTTAAAGATTTTATTTATTTATTTGACAGAGAGAGAGACAGCGAGAGAGGGAACACAAGCAGGAAGAGCGGGAGAGGGAGAAGCAGGCTTCCTGCCGAGCAGGGAGCCCGATGCGGTTCTTGATCCCAGGACCCTGGGACCATGACCTGAGCCGAAGGCAGAAGCTTAATCGACTGAGCCACCCAGGCACCCTTTCTTTATTTTTTTTTAAGATTTATTCATTTATTTGACAGAGAGAGACACAGTGAGAGAGGGAACACAAGCAGGGGGAGTGGGAGAGGGAGAGGGAGAAGCAGGCTTCCTGCGGAGCAGGGAGCCCGATGCAGGGCTAGATCCCAACACCCTGGGACCATGACCTGAGCCGAAGGCAGATGGTTAATGACTGAGCCCCGCCAGACGCCCCTTATTTCTAGTTTTAAAAGAATATGTGTCATGTCTCTTCTGTGACTACATTTACATTTGTTAACCATGATTTTTTTTTTTTATCAAGAGTCAAAGAGATAAGTATAGAAAATAGAAGGAAATAGTGAGTTTTAGTGTTAAAGAAAGGGAAGCCAGATCCCAATAGTCAGAGATGTTGCAGAGAAGTACCCAGAGCTAGTTACTGAACCTTGTCTTTCCTGTTTCTAATGCCACTGTCTGGGAAGAGTTCTGAGTTTGCTGCTCCTGAAGCCTGTTTTAGATGTCGCTAACGGCTCTACATAGTTGAGCCAGGTGCTCTCATCTGTGTCTCACACAGTTCCCTAGTCCTGCACCTACACCAAATATACATAACCGCAGTTACGTATATTTGTATAAGAAGTTTCAGCTTATAAGGCAGTTTCCCTTCCATGATCTGATTTGATCTTCATGGCAACCCTGGGAGGTGGACAGGGTGGATATTACATCCAAAGAGAACCAGATGCTTTTCTCTTTGAAACATCTAAACCAAATACCGGGAATGTTCTAGTTAAGGAAATTCCGCGCTGATCCAATCTGTCCATTTACATGTGTGAACAGGCAGTTATAGAGGAGTATTTAAACCTATTGTAATGGGTTACATAAACATTGAAGTGCCATTATGATAATTGCTTGTTTGGATGATTTAATGAGGAAAGCCATTGGCCAAGGTAGATCTTTAGGAGGATGGGGTTCCTGGTCTGGTGAGACACCTAGCCCTTGACCTGCTCTCATTACTGATGCTAGCTAGCTCTGCTAGACAGCAGTAACTGGGAAGGTGTTTGCGGTTCACAGAGAGGAATTCATTGGCTTAGGTTTAGTGGTTGAGTCCCATATGTAGAGGACCATTTTCTTTTTATTTTCCTACCTCTCCCTGTTCCCTTTTTCTATTTCCTTCTTTTTCTTTCTGTGTTTCTACTTCTTTATGTGTGTCTCTGTCATGCTTCTACTTTTTACTTTTTTCTCTTCAATTCACTCTTCCTTTCTGTTCCCTTCCCTCATATTTACCTTTTTTTTCTGTCCTATTTCCATAATACTGATTTTAATTTGAAACTAGAAGTTGTTATGTGGATATTGTTAGCTGTATTGAATAATGTTATTTTCACGTTCTTAATTTGAAAAGCAAGAATCATGCTGCCCAGTTTTAAGACTTCTACATAAAGCCAAAATAATGGAGACTGTGGTTTTGGTAAAGGGATAGACACCTAGACTGGAGGCACAGAATTGCTGGTTCAGAAACGCACACAAATGTGGCCGTTTGGTTTTTGACAGAGGTGTAAAAGCAATTTAAAAGAAAAAGAGTAGTCTTTTCAGCAAATGTGTTAGAACAATTGGATATATATCCTCTATGTGCAAAAAAATGAACCTCAAATGTAAACTGCATACTTTATGCAAAAATTGATTCAAAGTGAATCATAGATTTAAATGTAAGACTATAAAAATTTTAGAGAAACAGCAAAAAATCTTTATGCCCTGGAGTTAGGCAAAGAGTTCTTAGACATGACACCAAAAGCATAATTCATAAAGGAGAAAAATATGATAAATTGAACTTCATCAAAATTAAAAGCTTTTGCTA